AAAAAAAAAAAAAAAAAAAAAAAATGCCACAGAGATCATTTCAATGGGAAATTCACAGGACAGTACCAAAAAACGACTGCTCTCATATCCCCTTTTCCAAAGTTCAAGTTTTATACAATTGCATAATGTCATTTGCTTTGGACTTGTAACCTGCCAAGCAGGACATGAATTTAGCTTAGAGGCCTGTTCATATATTCAAGATTTACCATGAGATGCATCATTCATTTCCCTTTTTCCTACAGCTTATTGGTGGAAAGATGCTGGGAAGTTATACAAATAAGACAAAATAAGTTTGGATTTTTAATGCTTTCTTGAGAGGCTTATGTTAGCTTTCAACATTTTATATACTAAGCCCATTTTATTTACTAAGAATACCATTCTGTATTCATTTATGCCCCACCATCTCCCTACTTTGAAAAGATAGCAAGTGATTTCTTTAAGTGAATGTGTACGGAAATTATTGAAAAGGGTGAGTACTCCTCAGGATAAATGCGGTCCATCTTCATTTATCCTTCTTTTCCCTTTCCAGGGACACGTGGCCATCAGAAATCATGAGCAACCCATTTGCACACCTTGCTGAGCCATTGGACCCTGCACAACCAGGAAAAAAATTCTTCAATTTGAATAAATTGGAGGATTCAAGATATGGTAGGTACATAGTTCCGTGATGGTTCTATAATGGTTCTATGATGGCTCTGATAGCAATTGGAATTCATTTAATACTTACTTGTGTGAATTAATTTTCTCACAAGAGAATTGGAAGAAGGAGTAGTAGAAAATGGGTGAATATTCTTGGGTAAAGCCCACAAACACACCTTTCTCACCTAAGTCATTTTTAAGCAGGTAATGATTATATACGTGTAACATTTATTTAACACTTTGCAGTATATAGAGTGTTGGTACATTTATATCATTTAATATGAATAACAATCCTATCGTGTCACGTTTATAAAATATAAGAAGTCCTGAGGAACCTGAGGCCCAGAGAGAGTCGATAACACAGCTCAGATCACACAAGTATGTGGGTTGCAGAAGAAGAGGACAAGAGCATGTCTTGAGCAGGTGGCTCAAGCCTGTAATCCCAGCACTTTGGGAGACCAAGGCGAGAGGATTACCTGAGCTCAGGGGTTCGAGACCAGCCTGGGCAACTTGGTGAGACCTTGTCTCTACAATAGATCAAAAAATAAGTTGGGAGTGGTAGCACATGCCTGTAGTTCCAGCAACTTGGAAGCCAGAGGTAGAAGAAGGATCACCTGAGCCCAGCAGGCGATCTGTACTCCAGCCTGGTGACAGAATGAGACTCCAACTCAAAAAAAAAAAAGGACCAAGTCTTTTAAAATTCCAAATCCTGTACTTTTTCTATCTTTGCACTGTTTTTTTCCAGATAATATTGGTGAATAATTTTCGTGTCTCAAGATGGAACTTTTATAAATAAACAAAATAGTTTTTCTTAATAATTACCATTGTTTTGTCCTAGGAACTTCAGTCACCACTGACCGTGCTACATAGTGTTTAGGGTTTTGTTTCCTTTGAAAGATGTATGCGCCAAAACTTGGTCTCAATTACAATAATTGAACTGTTACTTTATGTGTGTGTATATACAAATATATGTTACTTATTAACACTTAATACAGTAAAAATCTAGACTGTTGGTGAGATGTGATGACTTGCAGGAAACTTTCTGTCATTGGAATCCAAGGCAAGGTAACCATTTAATATGTAAGAATAAACTATTATTTTATTTTTGCCAAGACTATGGGTATTTTCTACTACTGAATGTCTCTTAAATCCATTCAATATTCATATATTTTAACCTGTTGATCACTTTACCCACTTTTCTTGTTGAAAGAATAGTCTGATGCTTCATATCAAATTTATGTAGAGATTGGCTTTAAAAAGCACACTTATAATACGATGTCTCATGGTTTTTTATGTTTTGTCATGCTTTTTCCTTAACTCCTAGGACGTTTACCATTTTCAATCAGAGTTCTCCTGGAGGCAGCTATTCGGAACTGTGATGAGTTTTTGGTGAAGAAAAATGACATAGAAAATATCCTAAATTGGAATGTCACACAGCAAAAGAACATAGAAGTACCATTTAAGCCTGCCCGTGTCATCCTGCAGGACTTTACGTGAGCCTATTGTCATTTCACTCTCCTCTATCCCCTTTGTCAGCCTTTCAAGAAAGTTTTTTTTAAAAAACAAACGAAAAACACTTTACGGTATAATTCATCACCCAGACACTTTTGAAAGCTGATGGAAGCTGGTGCTCTCTGCAGCAAGGGTAAACTGAGGTTGTCTCAGCCAAACTGTGATGTATAGTAACCCCTTTTCCAATGGCAAGAGTCATTGTCCGTGGTCTGGAAGATCCTCGTCCTTATCATTCTATAAAGTGAAAGAAACAGCATGGAGCCGAGCTACCACCCAGGAAACCAGGTTTCAAACTTGAAATGCTGGCATACTGTCTGCAGAGGAGAGTAATGCAGACCTGATGGTTTCTCTTAAGTCTCGGCTCACATCCAGCTATTCCTAAGAATCCTTGCTCTCCCCACCCCAGCCACTTTTTTGAGACACTATCTTTCCATTTTTAAACGATGTTATTTTATTTCTCCTAGAGACTGAATTGCATTTTTCTAGTGGATGATCACCCAGATCTAATACTTTTAAGAAGATAAGAGGAAAGGATACACTTGACATAAATTTGACATACTGCCTACTTTTCTCAATGATACTTATTTCTTTAAATGTGGTCTGAAGTTGACGGAGTGATCTGAATGTCTTATCCAGGACTTTTTCAACCCACCATGTGACTGGAAGCAGTCACCACAGTAAAAGTTCCAGAGTTTTCAAGTGCCAGCTTTCCCCTAGTTTCTCTGTTTAGACTATCGCTGCCATTAAATTTAGTATAATGGTAACATTATACATAAGGATGGTACTTATTACCTATTAACATGTGATTTCTGCTGAAGGAAGTATGCTTAGAGACTTTCATTATTCTTAGTCACCCATTATTAGCGCCTCTGATGAGATAGATCCTTGTCAATATTATCAGTGGAGGAGAAATTCAATACACATGTTTAAGGCTTATCTTCTGCTTCATTGTCTTCCTTTTCTTAGAGGTGTGCCAGCTGTGGTTGACTTTGCTGCAATGCGTGATGCTGTGAAAAAGTTAGGAGGAGATCCAGAGAAAATAAACCCTGTCTGTCCTGCTGATCTTGTCATTGACCATTCTATCCAGGTTGATTTCAACAGAAGGTGAGATTAAAACAAATACTTGGATTTTCTGCTTTGTGCAGATCTTGAAATACAAGTCTTTCTAAAACATGCATATGCGGCTAAATGAAAGATGACAATCTTTAAAAGTTATCTTCTGAAAAAATTAACCTAATATAAATTTTCCAATAAAGATTTTTTAGGAGAGGAGGGATTGGATTTTAGGGTTTTTAAAAATTTTTTTTAACGTTTTTACTTCTTGGGTAATAGCAACCTGTGTTTGAATCCAGCTTGAAGTCTGGGTGAAAACACATACACATGAAGTTCTACCATGAGTACTTGTTAGTACAAGTTTTTGTTCAACTTTAAAGGAGTTTGAATTCTTTTTCATCAACTGGAACCTTATTTCTTTTTTGATCCCAAGTAACTGGTTTTTTGTGTTTTTTTTTCCCAAGTAACTATTACATATCTGGCAATCTCTGTCTGTTCCCATAGTTTCCATAATACCTATTCCTTTCTTTTTATTTTTTTATTCTATTTTCTGGGATATCCTCTCCTCTCTTCCTGCCAAAATTCTACTGGTCCTCCAAGGCCAGCTTAAATCCGCTTCTGTTAGGAATCCATCACTTTCCAGCCTACCAAGCTCCCTGTTCTTTAATTTGCTAGAAGACTTAGTGTCCTTAGTGACCTGTGGCCCTTGAAGGAAAGTTGTCACTTGAATTGCCTTGGTAAGTAGACTGTCAGCTCCCTGAATATCAGGTACTTAATAAACTGAAGTAGATGACCTTGAAATTATCCTTGGGTTAAGTGAGAATCTTGGTAGCTAAGTTAAACTGTAGTGTTTTATGAAGGGAAAATACAAAATCTCTGAGGATGTTGTTTTTTGTTTTGTTTTTCAAAATCCATCCCCACATCATAGGCATCCAGAGGTATGAGTATTAAAATGTCTTAGTAAAAAAAAAACTTTTACAAAGAAAAAAATGGAACATGTTAATATGTAGTTGTGAACTAGCAACCTAGGCTGGACCTCTTAAACAAACTTTAAAAGTAAGTAATTCTTAAGCAGAATATATGTTGAATTTTTAATCCTAGCCCATTAAAGAGATAACTATCTAAATTATGAGAGATTAAGAGTCAAGTAGTAGTGGTCAGTTTCCCTAACTCGATTTATTTTAATGTGCTTTTATCCTTAAATCTCATTTTCCAAAAGCCTTTGCTTTGAGTCGGAAGCGTTGAGAGTGAATCTTTGGGTTAAAAATGGCATCAGGATATTAAACATAATCCATCCCCAGCCCCCTGTAAAATATACAAAAAGACATAGAAGATATTAAGTAAATATTAAAGATGTACGATGATAGAATCCAATATTGTTTAGAGCCCAGAAGAGTACCTCATGAAAATAGAGAAAAAAGAAACCAGTCACCTTTGCCCTTTGAATCAATCGTATAGCCAGATGGGAATGAAGAAGAAACTATCAGCATTTGTGCAAGGCAGAGTTTGTACCAACCAAAACCATGAAAATTTCAATGTAAAGATACTTGTGACCAGGTGTGCTTGCTCACACCTGTAATCCCAGAACTTTGGGAGGTCAAGATGGAAGATCACTTGAAACCAAGAGTTTGAGACCTGCTTTGGCAACATAGTGAGACCTCATCTCTACAAAAAATTAAAAAATTAGCTGGGCATAGTGACACATGCCTATATTCCCAGCTATTTGGGACACTAAGCCAGGAGATCAAGGCTGCAGTGAGCTATGGTCACGCCACTGCTCTCCAGCCCAAACAACAGAGGAAGACCCTATCTCTAAAAAAACATTGAAAATAAAATAAAAGGTGTAAAAATCAGCTATTGCTATATAACAGATAACCTTGGAATCTCAGTGGTAGTCAACAATAAGAGTTTGTTTCTTCCATATCTACAAGTTGATTGAGAGGTCAGCTGATCTAAGGGAGCTCAGCTGAGCAGCTCTGCTTTATGCTACTGTAGCTGGGTTGACTATTTACACTGAACCAAGCATCTTCAGGGCATCTAGGGCAACTCCATTTCATTTGTGTTTTTGGGGGGACCCAGGCTGAAGGAAAAAGCAGCTATCTGGTGATCACAGAGCCTCAAGAGTAAGTGGAAACATGCAGTATCTCTTAAGGCTCAGCTGAGGACCAGACAGGATCATTTCTGTTCATGGTGCCACTTATCAAAGCAGGTCATATGGTTGAGCCGAAAGTTGTGGGGGAGGGAAGTACAGGCCATCCATCTTTTGTAGAAGTAACTGCAAGATTACACAACGAGGGTTTGGATACAAGAAAGGCAATCAAATACTGTTAAGAGGCTAGTATTGTAACCTAGACTTTATGACTACATAAAGTTGTTATCAACTCTCAATGGAGAAAACAACTTTTCTGCATATGATGCTGAGAAAATTAATTATTTGGTGAAGGGAGAAGTTTGTATGAATTAAAGCATAAAGGCTTAAAAACTTTAGAAGAAAATATGTTATGTCAAATGTCTTGATGAAAAAGACCTTTTTTAACTTAGAAGCACTGAATGAAACAAAAAAAAGGGGGGGGAAAACTCTAGATTTAATGACTTCAGAGTTAAAAGGAAATAACTTGAAAAATGTTTGTAACAATTATAACAAAGAGTTAACACCCTTAATGTATAAAGAGTATGTGTAATACATTTAGAAAAATACTAAGACCCAGCAGATAAATGGGCAAAGGAATGTGGCATTTCACAATAAAAGGAAGCACAAATAGTAGTAAACAGTATATAAAGCCTTTTCAATCTTGCAAGTAATAAAAAAGTAAAATAAATATTTGAGATATAATTTTATCTTATCAATATAGTTAAGATTAGAAAATAGACATTAATTATGAAAGTATTATGAGAGACACTTTTATACACTGCTGATAGCACTGTAAATTAAAAATGATGGAAGCACTATGTATAAAGACCTTAGAAACTTCTATATCCTTAGTCCTGGAATTTCTGCTTCTAAGCATACCCTTAAAAGAGCTGAAATTCAGAAAAGGCTTTACAACTGATCATGTTCATTAAAGCATTATTTATAAATGAAAACCTAAAAACATTCTAAATGTCCAACAAAGAAGAATGACTTATTAAGTTATGGTACATTCCTAAAGCGTACTACTGGTAACCTTTACAGTTTTATTTATAAACTGCTTGATAGCACTTGGAAAGTCAATGAGCCAGATACCACAGTGCATGTGCACAGTGCATGACTATGGAGTGATCTCGGCTACATAGAAAGTTATGCAGAGATTAAAGGATTGAAAAGAGTTATCTCTGGGTTTTAATTGTCTGTCCTTCCTTCCTTCCTTCCTTCCTTCCTTCTTTCATCTCTCTCACTCCAGGGCTGAATTTTTACATTCTCTTAGCATCCTACTCCCCTTATTCCGTCTCTCATTCTGGCTTCTGATTTCACTTGTTATTCTTGGTCTCTTTAACAAGATGTGGGGTACAATTCAGGGTTAGGTATACAAATGTTGATTATACAGTTACCCTCGTTGTTGAGATGTGCTCCTCCCTCCCCTAACAGTTTCCGTAAACTGCCAATCTCACCCCCCCTTTCCTGGCAGTTTCCCACTACTGCCAATTCCTTTCTTATAGTATTATAATAATTGTTCAAGGTCCACTTATGAGTGAGAACATACGGTACGATGTTCTTTGTTTCTGTGATAAATCACTGAGTATGTTCGACTCTAAATCCATCAGGGTCTCCCTCTGTCACTCAGACTGGAGTGTAGAGGCCTGATTACAGCTCACCACTGCCTCAAATATTTATTTTTCAATAAAAAGCTATTATTTTTGCAATTGACATCATTTAAGAATATGAATTAAACCACTCAAAGAGAAACAAAAACACCTTTATTTGCTTCCTTGGTGATTTAAGTGGGTTCCATTCAGCCTCAAAAGAAATTTAGAAAATAGTCATTCTCAAATTAATACTGCCAACATTCAAACCAGATACATTAAGCATAGAGAAAAATCTACTTTGTCCCCTGAATTGATGGTTCTTAGAACAAGCAGACTGGATACTTGCCAAATCTTTCCTTTCCTTTAGACTCTGAAGCCAGTCTTAGGCAACATGTCTCCTCCATTTCTTTTTTTTTTTTTCCCCTAAATCACATGACCTCAATTTAATGTTTTGATTACAAAGGGAAGAATTTAAAATATATGTGTGAAATGTTTCCCTACTTGAGTTAGGATAAAGCCCCACTTCAGAAGTTACAAAGGAAGCCTCACAAAATTATGCCCAACTTCATCTTTTCTTGGAGACCCTCATTGATATTGATGGATTTGCCTTCATTTCACTGACCTGGAACCTGAAAGTATGGGGGGGACAGAATTGTAATTGTTTTTATGTCTAAAATCTATCAATTCAAAATTCAAAGAACTCATGACTGTGAATGCATCTGGGTCATCGCCAAGTTCACTGTAATGTTTTATTCCTTTAGACCTTGACTTTTGTTACCTCTGATTTCAATTTTTTTTAGATCTTTTTTCATTTATACCATGTACCGAAAGCATTATTATGAAAATAGCAAAGTCTAGTGGTGACTTTGACCCAGATTGATATACATATCTAGCAAGCCCATATATATATATATATATAATTAGAGAGAACATTTCTGTTAGAAGTATTTTCATTGATGGTATTTTGTTTTTATTTCTTTACTTGTGGTTTTGCAATTTGACCTCATGACTCTTTCCTCATTTTTGTAAGGAATTAAATATGATGTGTCTTAACCCTTATGGAACTATGTACTGTGGGTTTATTTCTAGCTCTTTTTCAAGAAATCAGCTAGAAAAACTGGTCAAGGGGTAGTAGAGTGGTAAATTTATTCTAAGCTTTTTGCCTGGTTTGAATAATATTAATTGGCCTCACACCATCTTTAGGAATTGAGAATCTAACTAACTTGCTATTGTAACGTGTTACAGAGTTATCTCAGAAATAACTTTTTCTCCAACAAGAATTTCTTAACAGTTTCTGATCAAATTTCATGAGTCTGAAAACTATTTTCTCTGTAATACTGTCTATGAATTGCTGGAGCACCACTAAATATAGTTCTCAGAAACTAAACTGCATCCAAATCTGAATTAAAAGTAAGTAACAAAGGAGAAATGTAATCTATGAGGCCATTCACATTCAGAGACCTTATTAAAAGTTCACTAATTTAGCTAATTTAGGAAAGTTCTGAAAGGTAGAAAAAGCTGAATTCTTGGTGTATTATTCATTCCAATAACTAGAGCTATGCTAATTGAACCACACTTAACAAAATAGAGGTTTTGTTTTCCTGAGTAAATAGGTTTTTACCTGAATTACCATATTATAAAACAGCCCTCAGGCACAATGGCTCATGCCTATAATCCCAGTACTTTGGGAGGCCAAGATGAGAGGATTGCCTGATCCCATGGGTTCGAGACCAGACTGGGCAACTTGGAGAGACCTCGTCTCTACAATAAATAAAATTTTTTTAAAAATTAGCCGGGCTTGCTGGTACGTGCCTGTAGTTCCAGCTATTTGGAAGGCTGAGGTAAAAGGATCACCTGAATGCAGCAGGTCAAGGCTGCAGGGGTTATGAGTGTGCCATTGCACTCCAACCTGGGCAACAGAGTGAGACTCCGACTCAAAAAAAACCAAAACAACAACAACAAAAAAACCAAACAGCCTAAGCATTTCTGGCTTCTGCTCATCCTGTAAACGTGTTGATTTTATCATCAAACTGACGACCCTAGCATTTTCTGGGGCAAACGTTCCCCTTACAATCCTGATTCTACTGTGAGAAGCTCTGACATCCTTCTGGTTCTGGAGGGAGGACCAGGGACAGTGACAAGTAATCTAGAAGTAGTCAATTATAGCACATGAGATGGGGGCTCCAGGGGCAAGGGGCCACATGTAGTTACAATCTCACCTACACTGGTAGAAATCTTTTTTTTTTTTTTAATTAAATCCATTTACCAAACCTATTATATGCCAGTATTTATTCAAGAAGCAGATTCGTTTAGAAGAAGAGAGGTTAGTGAACACAACTTTCGTGCAGTTGGTATAGAGAAGGGGCAAATCATTCCGGCTTGGGGAGCCAGAGGGTTCTCAAGGAGCATCACTTGATCTGGATCCTGAAGCACGTTCACCAAGGAGATCAGCTCCAGGAAAGGCATTCTACTTAGTGTCCAAAGGCATGAGGAAAGTGGGGCCGGGGAGAGTGAGGGCTACAGGGTGACCCCAGCTGAGAGTTTGAACTGGAGGATAGGAAAGGGCGTATCAAGAACAATTGTGGTCAGATTCAAGGATGTGGTTTTTTAAGACAAGGAATTTGTACTTATTTAGGAAATGGGAAGCCACTGGCAGATTTGAGCTGGGGCATGATGATCTATATTTTGGAAAACTGATTCAGGTGACAGTACAGCAGGAAGGTTGAATGCATTGACAGGGCAACTAGTTGGGAGGTTATTTCTGGAATACTTTAATAGCTTAGGTACAGTGTGGTAGGAGAGGAGGTCATTAGATGACTTACAGATAGAAAGAAGAGGAACAGATTTAGGAAAGAAGGCCAAACATTAGGGGTTGATTTGTTGAGTTTGTGGCACCTTAAGTATTCCTGAAGCAGATGCTAAAGATATGCTAGAAATATAGATCTGGACCGGAAAAGACAGGTGGGAGCTGGAGGGATGGAGCCCTCAGCATATTTTTGAGAAGAAGGAGGCAATGACTGTCTTGAGAACTAGTCACGTCTTGTCCAGGTGTCTGCACTGGTGTCCTGCCTTGTTCTGCTACACTAAGGTGTGTCTCCTTTTTCTCTCTCTTTTGCTGTTCTCTACTGTGGACGCACATTCACACACCATTCTCTCAGGCGAGGATCAGCAGACTTTTCTACAAAGGGCCAATAGTAAATATTTTAGACTTTGCTAGCCACATGCTATCTCTGTCACATAATTCTTTTTTTCCCTAGCCTGTAAAAATGTAAAAATCAGCCAGGCTCACACCTGCAATCCCAGCTCTTAGGGAGTCCAGAGTGAGAGGATCACTTGAGCCCAGGAGTTTGAGACCGTCCTGGGCAACATAGCAAATCTCTCTCTCTCTCATAAATACATACATACATAAATATCCATATCCATCCTGGGCAACATAGCAAGACTCTGTCTCATAAGTAAACAAACAAATAAATGCAAGAAATTTTAAAAATAAAATAAAAAATGTAAAAATCATTTTTTGTGTGTGAGGGCCTAGTATATATGGGCATTGGGCCAAATTTGACCCATGGGCTATAGTTTGTAGACCTCTCCTATAAGGTAGTTTCAGGAATTGATCCCAATAAATCAACCCACACTTGTCTAGGAGACTATTCATATCCAGACAAAAGGAGAGAAAAAAATGAGTGTGGCAACTGGATGGTTTTTATGAGGCAAATGATGTGTACTTTCAGTCCTTTTCATCCCAACTCCTAGGAGTGCCTACCCATCTTTCCGTAGCTGACTCCCCATCATCCTTCAGACTACTTCGATGCCTTTTTTTTCTGGAAGGCCTTGTATCACCACCCTCCCCACCTGTGCTCATGCCCCCCCCTCCCATTTTTTTGAGTTGAAGTCTCACTCTAGCTGGAGTGCAATGTCAGGATCATAGGCCACTGCAGCCTCAAACTCCTGAGCTAAGCCGTCCTGCCTAAGCCTCCTGTGTAACTGGAACTACAGGCATGTGCCACTACACCCAGATAATTTTTTGAGAATTAGAAAATATCTCACTGTGTTGCTGAGGCTGGTCTCAAACTCTCGGCACAAGTAGTCCTCTTACCTTAGCCTCCAACATTGCTAGGATTACAGGCACGAGTCACCATTCTCAGCCCATGGCCCTTTCTGGGTGCTCCCATGGCACCCTGCACTTCCCGTATCAGGCATTGACGATTACACTCTTTTATAATTGCTTGGTCCTTCCCTGTATCTCTGAGCTCTGAACTCCAGGTGGACAGCCAGCATGTGGCACATGACAGGCTCTCAGTGGATAATAAGCAAAGGGGGAGGGGTAGGGATGGATAAGAAGTAGAGAACAATGGTTAAGGTCCCAGAGCCAGGCAGACTTGGGTTCAGAAGACAGTGCTATAATTTACCAGTAGTCTGACTTTTGACAAATTATCCAGTCTCTATGTCTCAGCTGTTGCTTCTGTACTTTGAGGATGAAAGTTATATTTACATGAGAATGAGTTCGTGTGTGTGAGCGCTGAGTGCCTGTAACATAATGCTGCCCTTTAACTCCTACTGTTACTGTTGTGCTGGTGGTGGTTATTACCACTGCCATCATGACTGCCAGTCTCTGTACTGTGACGGGGAGACAGTAATGGTATAGAGATTAAGAGGGCTGTATCGACTCTGCAGTCAGGATGCCTGGGTTTCAATTCTGGTTCCACAATTTACTAGCTGTGTGGCTCTGAGCAAGTTTCTTAACCTCTCTGTGTCTTAGTCTCCTCATTTGAAAAATGTGACTATTAGTGCACCTAACTCAAAGGGTTATGGTGGAGACTGAGAAAATTATTGTAAAGCAATTAGAATAGTGGCTGGTTCCTCCTAATGTCAGTAAGTATTAACCGTTATATTAATTAATGAAGTCTGACTTCAGTCTTAGCTGTTAATTTTTCTGGTTTTTTTCTATGTTCATTCAATTCTATGATATACAATTTGTGAGCACCTACTGTGTGCTGATTCTGCAAACTTCTGACTATAAAATTCTTCCTTGACTCAAAAAAATGCAATTTGACTTTTTAAATCATGGAAAAATCTTCTTGAGGCCCTGTATTGTCCTGATGGACTGAATGACCTTGCGTAAATCTCAGCATATAATCTGTGATTTACAGATGTTCTTGGGTGGCAACATTCTCATAAGCCTGTCTGACAGATAGGAGATTGGGTTCTATTAATGACTGAGCCTCTCGTTATCGCTGGTTTTCCGTCTTCCAACACAAACAGATGAAAATGGCAGCCCGGACACAGTTCCACTCAGAGAGGTGTCTTAATGAGACCATGGATGAGAAAGGGGCACAGAAACAAGGATTCTTTAAATGTCTAAGCTGTGATCATCATATAAATATCTTGAGTATGTTCCTGAGAGTCAGACTTTATGATTAGATTAATTTTAACTCGAATTCTGCTCATGCTTTCTGTCCACCGTGTTTAAAGACATTGTAGGAATCACTTAAATCAAACAATAATTATTCTTTACTTTCATTAGTCACCTCTTCTTTTCTACGTTGTAATAATCATGAGTGAAATTCCTAATACCACTCAGCAAGCCTGCAGATGCAATTCCATTTCATTTATTCATCACCCATAAATTTGACCAGCAACATCTTAAGCCTCAAAATTTACACATTTAGTTTTTCTCTCTGACAGGGCGGACAGCTTACAGAAGAATCAAGACCTGGAATTTGAAAGAAATAGAGAACGATTTGAATTTTTAAAGGTATAGGCAGAGTTTGGTTCCATTGTTTGGTCTTCTGTGTATGTGGGGTGTGAGGGAGAGGTGTCAAGGGAATGGACTGAGTAGAAGCACCTCACATATTCATGGTGTTCTTTCCATGTGTCCCTCCAAGTGGGGTTCCCAGGCTTTTCACAACATGCGGATCATTCCCCCTGGCTCAGGAATCATCCACCAGGTGAATCTGGAATATTTGGCAAGAGTGGTATTTGATCAGGATGGATATTATTACCCAGACAGCCTCGTGGGCACGGATTCACACACCACCATGATTGATGGTTTGGGCGTTCTTGGTTGGGGTGAGTGTTCTTCCAGGAATATGCTATTCTCTTCCATATGTGTTGCTCTGGGGCATATACCTAATTCGCTTTGATGCCATTACATTCCAGAAGCATGAATTTGCATGACAACAAGTATTGGAGAGATGTTTTTGTCTTTTATGTTCATTGCTGTTTTTACAGTGCCCAGAAAAGCACTTTGCACCTAGTTGGCACTAGATGATTTTGTTTGGAAGAATGAAATGGAAAAGGGGGTTAGGGACATTTGGCATAAATGAAAATCTCCTGGGGTGTTTGTTAGAACTGGACTCCTAAAGCCTACTCTTCTTTGGGTGTAGCATCAAGAGGAATTTGATATAGATATTTGAGGGCCCACACTTTGAGAAAAACTTGTTAAAAATTCTGTAGAGGGAGATAAAGAAAAAAATAATGGCTCTTTACTCTTTATAGAAGCATAATTCAACTCTGTACCAGTTGAACATTGTAACTGCATTTATTACCTATTAGTGACACTGAATTTATATCTGAGAAATATAGTGAGAAATAATGAAAGCGTTACTCTGGCCATGCCATTCATTGCAGGTGTGGGTGGTATCGAAGCAGAAGCTGTCATGCTGGGCCAACCAATCAGCATGGTGCTTCCCCAGGTGATTGGCTACAGGCTGATGGGAAAACCCCACCCTCTGGTAACATCCACTGACATCGTGCTCACCATTACCAAGGTAACAATTTGCTGCCTCTTCTGTGTGCTTGGAAAGTCACTGTGACAGAGAGGAAATACATAATGGATTCTCACTTAGTTTCCACGTGTTCTACAATTGCCAGGAAACTATATTGATTACTTTTAAAGGAGGTGAGATAAGGAGAGCATTCTGTGTTACATTTAGATAATTATATTCATTTTCCTCTCCTGTTGCTGCATGGATTTTTTTCTTAAATTTTTTTTCAATAGTGAAATAGTTTAAATACATAGAAATTAAAATGACATTCATGTATCTACCACCTAGATTTAACAGATAAGATTTTGCCATATTTGCTTCAGATTTCCCTCTATATATTTTTAAAGAAATAATATATTTATGGCTAAAGTCATACTCTCTATTTCTAGATATAATATCTGGAGGTTGTGAGAATCATTCCCACCTACATATTTACACTTTTACTATATCTTTTCCACATGGCTCTTCTTAATATGTAAATAGCAAAGTAGTTCCTAGTTTCATGATTAGTGTTTGACTTTTAAAATTTTCTCCTCTGTATTGCAGATTATATTATTGTAACAGATGTTTCTCCAAGCTGGAAAACACTAGCTTGTTTTCAAGCTGTTATAGGAAATCACCTTTTTTGTTTTTTTTTAAATCACAAACAATTTTTTCTGGTTTCATAGTTTGGATACTCAGGGTAATTTGCATGTACACTCTATTGTTAAAGGCAAAATAAGTTTCTTTGACTTAATCTTTGTGGAATTTGGAATTGGATTATTTAACACTGTAGCTTATCACAAATGTCTGTGCACTGTTCTTTAGATGTGGAATAATATAGGACTTGCTTACAAAATTTGACAGAATCCCATATAGTCCAAAGAGCCTGTCTATTAATATGTGGCTGTGCATAGTCCATGAAACTGGCTTCATGCAGGGCCAAGTTAGTCCTTAGGGCCTCACTCCTAACCAATGGCTTGTGTGGAAAAGATAGGTAGAGTCAGAAATGGGGATCTTTTGGTTACATTTGACTTTTACTTGCTGCATGAATTTTGTTCATTACATCTTTGAAAACAAGTCATTTTCTTACTCAACTAGTGCAAGTAATAGTTTATTTAGGTTGAAGGCATTTAATATTTAGAAATGATCTCATTAAAGAAAGAAGGAGAGTCTTTCTCATTTTTTAAAAATAATTTGTATTAATGTTATTTGTATTACTGGCATACTTTTCTTTTTTAAAGAACTATTTTGACATAATCTTTGATTTATAGGAGAATTGGTACAAAGATAGTACAGAGCACTCCTGTTATCTTTCTCCCAGCTTCCCATAACATTAACATCTTGTATAATCAGGGCACATTTATCAAAACTAAAACATTAACATATGTTGGTATGGCACTCTTAACTAAACTACAGACATCACCAGTTTTTTCAGTAATGTCCTTGTTTTGTTCTAGGCTCTAAACCAGGATCATATCATGCATTTAGTTGGCATTGCTTTTTAAAGTTTTGTTTTTAAAAGTAACCAAAAATATGTTGTGCTAATTTATTGTTCAGGTTTACTAACACAGCTAGTTTATAAGAAATACAAGATGGTAGTTCTGCATTTTAAACGTGGGCTGTCAAATCTCAAACTTTCCTACTGTTTCTGCTGCTTAGCACCTCCGCCAGGTTGGGGTAGTGGGCAAATTTGTCGAGTTCTTTGGGCCAGGAGTCGTCCAGCTGTCCATTGCTGACCGCGCTACGATTGCTAACATGTGTCCCGAGTACGGAGCAACTGCTGCCTTTTTCCCAGTTGATGAAGTTAGTATCAAGTACCTGGTGCAGACAGGTAAGTGAAGTCCTGTGAAAGCAGAGGGGTCTTTGTAAAACTTTCATAGAACACGGAGAATAAGAGCACTGCCTTCTGCCTCCACCCAAGAGAAGGCACTGGGTGCCTGTGGAGTCAAAGTGAGTTGTTGGGATTTAAGGAGATATGAGATAGTGATGATGTGGCCAGTAGAAAGAGCTTAGGTACTCAAGAAGCCTGGATATTTACACTGGTGTGCTGCTAGCCATTTGAGATGAAACAAGTTATCTTAGTCATGATAACTGCTGTCCATGAGGTAGCTACTCTGTACCAGGCGCCTGGTATGCATTTTCTGTCATCCTCTTCACAGATCTGTAGGGTAGACTGATTGACTTAGCTAATTAACTACTAGGAGGGAAAACTGAGGATCAGAGAGGTGTTATTACCCAAGGCTAATACATAGTGGAGGCAGAATCCAAACCTGCAGCTGCCTACCTCCATACAGGGCTGGCACTCTGTAGTGTCTCTCACAGGGTTGTCCAAAAGCTGAAATGAGAGACTGCATATGAAGACATTTTGACACATCAACAGATCTTTAACTCCGTATATTTTCGTTTAGGAAGTTAACTCTTCTCCTAGAAAGCTGTTTTAAAACATTAACTATCCATTCAGCCATTCATGTAAAAATTATCAATATCTGGTCTATTTCCCAAAGATATAGCTGTGACCAAGATAGATAAGTCCCTTCCCTCATGGAGCTTACATTCCAGAAAGGGGGAAAGACAGTGAAAAAGGAAACAAATGTGTAAGTATGATAATGAAAAAGCAGACTGGGGAGCTGGTTGAAATACCCCAGGAGTGCTTTTGACATATAGGAAGGGCTTTTTGAGGTAGAATTTGAACAGATGTTCCAGTGAAGTGAAGGAGCAAGCCACGGGAAGGGTTTCATGAGAGTCTTTTCTTTTCATTTTTCTTTTTTTTCTTTTTTTTGAGTCAGAGTCTTACTCTGTTGCCCAGTATGGAGTGCATTCTCAGGCCACCGCAGCCTCGACTTGCTAGGCTCAGGTGATCCTTCCACCTCAGCCTTCCAAGTAGCTGGAACTACAGGCATGTGCCACCATGTCCAGCTAATTTTTTTTTTATTTACTGTAGAGACTAGGTCTTGCCAAGTTGCCCAGGCTGGTCTTCAATATCTAGGCTCAGGCATCCTCTCTCGCCTCCACCTCCCAAAGTGCTGGGATTACAGGCATGAGCCACCACCATGCCCAGTTCATGAGAATCTTGTAGACCCCAAATAAATCCAAGTCTTCACTGGTAGCCTGAGGAAATCCCTCTGGCATAGTAATTTTCATGAAAAAGTTTATTTTTAAAAATGTGCATATTAAGTATAACCACATGGGAATTAACATGTCCTTGTTCTCCAAAGGCTTTGAAGTGAAATAGATGTAGAATTAAAAGAACAGACTAAAGCACTGCAGGAGTCAGCCTAAAGAAGAAAAGGGAAGGGATGGTATGCCGAGGGAGAAAAGCTGCAGAATGTAGCCAGAGGAAAAGCTAGTTTCTGTGGTGCTGAAGCTGGCCACAAAACTTTTTAGTGATCTGATGCCAAATTTGTAACATCTCTTACATTGAAAAAACATATTGCTTCAGAAACCTACAATCTTTTCTCATCCAAAACCCTAAGAGAAATCTTCTGTTCATCTTCTTGTAGACTGGCACGTGGTATAGGGAACAGTGGGCTCAACAACAGGTCATGATAGTGAGGCTCTAATAGCCATCTTGTATGAGATCCATGCTGAAAGCTGATGACCTTTATAATTTGGTTCAAACAAACAAACAAAAAATCTCGATCTGTGGTGGGCCCAAGGATCAAGCTTTCAGTCTCGCCTAACTGTCAGAGAAAGGGGTGGACTGCATATCCACTGGGCATACTTCACGAATATTATCTCCTATACCAGGATCTTGATAACAATTAAACAGCAGAGGGTTCAGGTCATATTCCTCGTGATACAGCATTGTGAGTTAAGACTTTGAACTTTGGGATCAAACCCTGGTTCTGCCATTTTCTGGCTGTGTTCCATGGGAGAGTTACTCAGTCTTCTTGAGCCACCATTTCCTCATCTATAAACGAGAAGAGTAATTGCACTTATCTCTTGATAAAGGATTAGAAATCTAGGGTAAAGCATTTAAAACATTTAGCATACATTATCAGGCTACAGAAAATGCTCAGTAGCTGGTGCTTTGGGATGGGGGTGGGGCGGGTTATTATTTTAAGAATAATTGTGTGTAATTCTGAGTCTCTATCACCAGTTGAAGGTAGACACATAGGAGTGCTTTGACAATTAGCTCAGACTTAGGATTTTCCTAATCAAGAGCTGTAATCAAAAAGAGGGGGAGTATCGATAGGTAGACCTGGAATTGTTTTCAGAAAATAGTCACTTTGAAAGTAACAACATATCTGTTCATAGCCCCTAATAAAAAGCAGCATCAGCTAGAGAGTCAAGCTGTTAGCCTGAAATATCTGAGGAGTTGGTGTGTGTAACTGAAATATATACTATGTACTTGTATAATTGCTGATGGAAGTATTAGTTTATAATCTTTAACCAGAAAATATTAACATATGTCACTTGTTACTCCTTAATATGCCATTCAGGTCGTGATGAAAATAAAGTAAAGCACATTAAAAAATATCTTCAGGCTGTAGAAATGTTTCGTGATTTCGGTGACGCTTCTCAAGACCCAGACTTCACCCAGGTATGAGACCGCCTTCTACTGAGCATGCATTTCCTCTTCCTCAAGGTTGTCATTTTAGCTGTGTGTGGTTTTCCTTGCCAAGGTACATTTGTAGGAAATTAGTCACTGCTGAGGCATTGCAGGAAAATGGGGTATTAAAAGTCTAAAAAGTCAAAAGGATCAGGAAATTGTAAACATAATAGAATAATATAACTTTTTACATTCCTACTGGCCTAACCATTATAAGTTGAGCATGCTCCCATTTTTTGAACTACTGATTCATGCCTCTTATTTGGAAGACTCTTGAAAGACTTTACTAGAGGAGCTGAAGCTATTTAAGGCTAAGTTCATCATTAGCATAGACCTGGAAAGAAGTGAAGGTACAAACACCTCAGTTAGTTCTATTTCTCAAATGACTTACCCTTGTTTTCTAGGGTGTAAACTGAATCCACATTTTTCTAGACAGCCAAGATAGAGGGTAAACTAGACCTTGTTTTGTTTCATATTACTTTGAGGGAAGGAAATACTCAGTTAGACTAAGGCCCTTTTCCTGGCATTGATAACTTAATGGCTGCATCCCTCCCAAGTCACCTTAGAAGTATATCAGTTTTGTATCATTTCAATAGAAAACCCACTTCAACCTTACTTAGACAATACGAAGCATATGTGAACTACTTTCCAAGGATGAGCTAGTGGAAGACACTGGGCAGCAACTGTAGCATCCACCCTAAGCTCACACTACTCAAGTGCCTATCTTGATCTTGGAAAATGAATCATTTAAGTGTTAAGACAAGCATCGGCTTCCTTGTTTTCAAATGTGGTAGTTTTGCTTATTCGCTTATTTTTATTGTTGTGATGTTTTAAATTTTCTGGCATGCCTCATGTTTCCTCTTTATAGGTATAATCTGAATTGTATAATTTACTTTCGATGAACAGGTTGTAGAATTAGATTTGAAAACAGTAGTGCCTTGCTGCAGTGGACCGAAAAGGCCTCAGGACAAAGTCGCCGTGTCTGACATGAAAAAGGACTTTGAGAGCTGCCTTGGAGCCAAGGTAGGGGCCTGGGAAAGGAGTTTGAAGTCCTCTGGACTCTATCCCATGCCTGGTTTCTTAATGTCCAAGCTTTTACCCCACTCGATGATGAATCTTCTGAAGCCTGGTGCTGAGGGTGTTTCTTCTCCATTCTAAAGTCCTTGATGACTCCCCCATTAGCCACGGGCCAAGCAGTGGGCCAAGCAGCTTCCTAAGAGCATGTGACCATTCGTAAACACACCCCAACTCACTTTTTTAAGCATATGTAGTTTTCATATGACTCTCACTACATTGTTTGCTCTACTTACCCAAGCTTTTCTGGCCATTGTGCCTTTGTTCATGACACTCTCTGCCTGCATGTCTCTTCCCCCATCTAGTCACAACCTATTCTGTCAACTCCATAAAACTTGGTTCAGATCCCAGCTCCTCTGCGACAGGGCCTTGGAGTCTCATAGGAGAAAGCCCTCTTTCTCGCATTTGAAACTTCATGGCACTTGGTCTGAAACGTTTTGATGGCATTCCATATTCTTTAACTTGCATTTGGTACTTTATTTGCATGGATAATTTCCTCTACTGGACTGGATGTTTGTGAATAGGATTTGTGTCTGAATCACCTTGGTACCCCTCAAAGTACCTAGCATAAAGTCTTACACGCAGTGCATTTTCAATGAACATTTCCCAAAGGAATGATTAAGATATGTGATGGATTTTATCTATGGGACACCAGTATTATACCAACAGTGTTTGCATTATTGACTAAATTATTGATTGGTTGAATCTGGTCAAAATGGCACCTCTTTCTAAATTTCCATAAGGTTAGAATCAGTTGCCTTGGTGGTCCGTTTGTGTCATTTCAACTGCACAATAATGCCATTTAGTTCTATTTAGACTAAATTTGTAGTTTTAGCATTTCTATTTTTAAGGTGGAAAGGAAGTACTTGTTACTAATGTCAATGCAGAAGTAAGATTCAGAAATTATTACTGCCTTTTGTAAAAAGATTTGTTAAAAATCTTTGTAAAGATTTAAAAAGAATAGAGAGACATCTAAGTTTTCTGAAGCACTTCAGAATTTATTTGCAGAGATATTTATGCTTTGTTAAGAATTGGCTTTTACAAACCCTGAACATTTATCATAATACTATAAAAAAGGGATTGGCAGTATGGGACACTGCTGGGGCGGGGTAGGGGGGCACATAACATCAATTAGGGTACCCAATCTCAGACCAGGTGAAGTGGAGAACCAAAGGAAGTCCCAGACTTTACCTGTATGATCACCACATATGTACCTTACCCTGAATTATACCCCACATCTTTAAAGTAAAAAAATAAAAATACATTGGCTTTTAAAATTATACTTACCAAAGTATTCCTTCTTCCAAAATGAGAACTTTGGACCATATATTTTTTTTTCTATAGCAAGATATATATATCTTACAAATATTTTTTCCTATGTAATATATATATATATATTTTTTTTTTCTTCCTATAGCAAGGGTTTAAAGGATTCCAAGTTGCTCCAGAACACCATAACGACCATAAGACATTTATATATAATAACAATGAATTCACCCTTGCTCATGGTTCTGTGGTCATTGCTGCCATTACAAGCTGTACAAACACCAGTAATCCATCTGTGATGTTAGGAGCAGGTAAGTGCATTTGACTCCAGCCCCATGGTCATTTGGACGTAGGTGGAAATTTTCTGAGATAAGCCCAGGGTCTTAGCTGAGTTCTACATGTAATTCCCTGAGCCTTGCCTTTTTCAGATATAGAAATTTAGAGGCCCAAAAATATCTACAGAATAAGTAGTGTCCAAAGCAAGATATTTAAAAGAGAATATATATTGCATAATAGTCTTTCTCTTGAAAATTAACATAGAAAATAAGTAGAGGAAAGCAAAAGAAGCTGAGTTTCTGGTAAAACCTAGAAGCTTGTATCAGACCTTGGAAGAAAAAAAAAAACAACTGGAGTCGTGTCGAGGACTTTGTTTTTATCTGTAAGACCCCTGAGCAGCAGAGTTGAGTCAGACTTGGATGCTGGGAGGTGCGTATGAATTAGGTCACAGGGCACTGACTGACAGACTTGGTGTGCCTCAGCTGTTACACAATCCTGGTTAAGCAGTTAATATTTACAAGCAGGGCTCCACTCATATAAGATCGCTTTAGTTTCCAAGTTTTCAGTCATCCCCCGAAGCTCCTCTTGTGTTCACAGATCAAACAGTGTCAACAGCTGCTCTATTTTATGAAGCAGACATCGGTATAGGGAAAATCCTGTTTGTCTGAGTCTGTTGCTACCTAAGCTTTCCTTGTGTGAAGCAAATCAGTCTTCTGAAAACAAGTCACCAGCTTGTCCACAGCTCTTTGTTCCTCTATACCCTCAGCCCCTTCCTCATTTTTTTCCTACTTTGCTGTTACATCCTAAGTCAGAGTACCGAGAGTTCCAGTAACAGTCTCTGTATCTGCCCAAAGTCCAGCGGCCCAAGAGCTCTTGATCTTCCACTTCACGGAATATCTGAAGACTAGATTTTTACTTCTTGGCTAACTATTCCTTACCATTGGGATACAATTGAGTGCTTTCTGAAAGGGCCCCTACATGATGATTTTCATCCAAATCAAACATAATTAGAAAGATCAGTTTCCCCCTAAAAGTTAAAAACTCATTCTGTAATATAGTCCCAAATTGTTTTAGGTTTATCTCTCTAAAAAAAAAATTGCCAGCACCTCTCGTTTTTCATTTTTGTGACTAAATTTTGAGTTCACTACATGAGTATAAGTGACTGTGGGCCAATGACCTTTTGACTCTGTTAGGCTGCAGAAATGGCGAAAGCACCCATATGGCGCTTGATGAAGTAGGCTTGATCAGGTGGTGGCAGGAAATGCAGACTGAAAATTTGGGCTCTTCCCTGAAGTGTGCCTGGCACCTAGAGCAGGCAACCACCCATACTGTCTGTGTTTAATCATTTCACAGGACTGTTAGCAAAGAAAGCTGTGGATGCTGGCCTGAACGTGAAGCCTTACATCAAAACTAGCCTGTCTCCTGGAAGTGGTGTGGTCACCTACTACCTGCGAGAAAGTGGAGTCATGCCTTATCTCTCTCAGCTTGGGTGAGGGACAGTCTGAGAGAGTTTTCTTTTGCATCATTGCTCCTGTTACATTTTACTCCTCATTTGTATCTTGGTCTTGTCAACTTGTAACAGACGTGAGCTTCTCTGATGGTATCTAATTGCATAGTCTTTTATCAGATCGTAGACAGACTTAAACCCTAATATTTCAATGACATAGGACCCTCCTGCACAGCTGTGTTGGTTGTTCATCATACAAGGATGCCTTCTAAGGGTAGAGCAGGGACTAAAATCGAGCTTATGCTCTGATTAGCAAGCCTTGTGCTCTGATACGGTGCTGTACTCTCCTGGCAGAGGGGATACCTTTTCTCAGTTGCACCAAGATATACTATGGACTAGTAGTAGTTCTGCAACCAAGAATCTGTCTTTTGACCTGAGAACAATTATTTAAAGTGGCTGAAAAAATTCTAATTTCTTGAGGCAAATTAGTTACAGTCATGCATCACTTAAAGACAGTGGTACATTCTGAGAAATGGTGTTAGGCAATTTTGTCCTTGTGTGAACAGTATAGAGTGTACTTACACAAACCTAGATGGCGTAGCCCACTGCACACCTAGACTATATTGTATGGCCTATGGCATCTAGGCTACAGGTCTGTACAGCGTGTTCTGTGCTGAATAATGTAGGCAATTATAACACAATGGTATGGATTTGTGTATGTAAACATAGAAAAGGTACCATAATAATATAGTATAAAAGGCAAAAAATGGTTTTACTGTTTAGGGTACTTACCATGAATGGAGTTTATAGGACTGGAAGTTAGTCCAGGTAAGTCAGTAAGTAGGTGGTGGTGAATGTGAAGGCCTAGGACATTACTGCACACTGTAGACTTTATAAACACTCTACACTTAGGCTACACTATTACAAACATTTTTTCTTCAATAGTAAATTAACCTTAGCTTATATAACTTTTTTACTTTATAAACTTAATTTTTTAAATACTTTTTGACCCTTTTATAATATGCTTAGCTTAAAATTGTACAGCTATACTAAATTATTTTCTTTTTTAATATGCTTATCCTAAAGCTGTTACTATTTTTAACATTTTTGTTTTTTCTACTTTGTAAACTTTTTTGTTAAAACCTAAGATACAAAAACTCACATTAGCCCAGGTCTACATAAGGTCAGGATCATCAGTATCACTGTCTTCTCCCTTCACATCTTGTCCCACTGGAAGGCCCTTGGGGGCAGTGACAAGCATGGAACTGTCGTTGCCTGTGGTAACAATGCCTTCTCCTGCAATACCTCCTGTAGAACTTTCCTGAGGCTGTTTTACAGTTAACTTTTTTTTTAATGAGTAAAAGGAGTACACTCTAAATTAACAATAAAACGCAGCACAGAGGGCTTGTTTACACCAGCATCACCACAAATGCATCAGCAATGCCCCTTGTCCCGATATGATGATGGCTACACTATCACAAGGTGACAGTTTTTCAGCTCCATCACAATGGGACCACTGTCATATATGTTGTCCATCATTTACCAAAAACATTGTTATACATCTCATCACTGTATTCATTGCCAAATATAGTTTCTTCAGTTTCCATTTTATTCCTGTGTTTAATCCTTGGGATTATCCAGTAATAGTAGTGAATGGAGACATGAAGTTGCACATCTGATTTCAACTTTTAAAAATGCTAGATTGTTCAGTTTGACCCCTTTTTATAAGTAAATAAAACATGAACAGTATTCTTCTTAGATATGCTGTATCAGAACGCTCTCAAAAATGAAAGCTTTAGCCGGGTTCAGTGGCTCAGCCTGTAATCCCACGCCTTTGGGAGGCTGAGGTGAGTGGATTGCCTGAGCCTGCGGGTTCGAGACCCGCCTGGGCAACTTGGTGAGACCTCATCTCTACAATAAATCAAA